GTTGAGGTTTTTTTTGTGATCATTGAAACAGTTAGTCTGTTAATTGAGCGTTAATGATAAAAGTAAATAATCATCTTAATGGCACAGGAAAAAAACAGGAATCACAATTACGAGGGACTTGAAGTTGAACCAAAAAAGGATAGAGACAGAGATACAAAAAGAGTAAACATTGACACACATTATTATTCACCATTATCCAAACATGAAGCACCATTAAACGAAACATTTTACCGTTCAATAACAGATTTAACTTTGAGTGAACAATAAGGAATGTCTAGAGAGTGGAAAGTTATTAAAAGTTGAAGTTTATGCAGTTATCAACCCACAACATGCGAAATTTGGGGAAGTAAAAAGTAAATTCTGTTACTTGAAGGTACCATTTTAGACTCAATTTTCAACTTTTTTTACTCTGATTTACAAATTTTCGAGACATCAAATTGTCACGAAAATGTTCGAAAGTGTTGTCTCTTCTGTTGATTGGGAACCATGAGCTTATGGTAATGGTAAATTGCTTCTGGTAATAACATGGATAACGAGAAGACACTTTGAGATTATGAAGCAGGAAAGATGAACTTTATCGAGCCAGTGAATTAGTCTTTTGTAATTATGGTTATGTTGATGAAGGATCAAAAAAAATGGCGTGGGAATGGGAAGATGATGAAAATGTAGATAATTTGATGGATAATGAGAAAATATTAGGTGTAAGGGTTTAAGGGTCAATAGCGATAATGGTTTTGGCACAGATATGGACCAATATCTTTTAGTCTTGCACTTAATCGAATCAAATCTCCATCAATTTGTCGATGGCTTTTCACTTTTTTATTCAGTTAAATTATGGAATGTATTTTGTCAACATTTTTGTATTTTTTGATAATAAAGTCTTGATTGACCTGCTTAGCAACCAAGTTGATTCTATATTTTTCATGAAGAAACCTCAGTCAGTTGAATGGCCAATGAACTTAATATGACATGAAATGTCTAATAGACACTTTGAAGACCAAAGGCCTTGTGTCAAGGGAAGTCTGTAAGTCTTGTAGGTAAGCTTGCTAGACTAAGGCAGCCTCAATCGAGCACTTGTGCTTGTGCACTCAATAAGCACAAGTTGAGTTCGAACTCTTCAGAACCAAGTCGGTCAAATGCTCTCAGCCGAAGAAATCTCAATCCTAAGAAGAGTGGTTCAATGGATCATTGGAAAAATGTTTATTGGAATTTACATTTTTTCTGTTTTCTCTTCTTGTCTCCACCGATTCACCGTTAAATTGAGTCAATAATATTTGAGCAAAAACAAGAACTGCTATCATCGTTGGTGACCAACAGATTTTGATGATCTTTTACCATGCAGCTGTAATCCTGAATATCATCATTATTAGAACACGAATTTGCTCATTTAATGTTGAATCAACAAATTATCGTTATCATCCTCATAATCATCTCGATGATACATTTAATGTGAACATCATTTTTCCTCGACATTCATCTATTAGTGATAAGATTATTATTTTTTATCATCGCTATTATGGATGTGAAAAGATGCTTTTTGTTTGCCTTTTAATGTCCATTCAATCCATTCCCTGATTGAACCATTAAAGCTGTAAACTTTATTTTATGACAATTACTCTGCTCATTATCACAATCATAATGTCCAAGTCCATGCATTTCAAATTAAACTGCAAGCTTGATGAAACAATTAAGATTGAATCAAGTTACTCTCAAGCGAAACTATTTATCGCCTCATAAAGCCACTTGATATTCACAGAGTCACCAGAGAATCTGCCAATCAACTGAATGGAAACTTTTCATGATGAATAAAATTTCCAAAATGGAAATGCAAATTTGTTCTGTTCATGTTATTATTTTTTGCCATCCTTGAGGCCAAAAGTGAAAAGCAATAATTTCAATTGATGTTTCACTTTGAAAAGAAAGTTACAAAACTATTGTTACATTTGCAACATGGAGTCTGTTCAATCCATTTCATCATGAAATTTGATTTACAAAGGAGGGTGACAGAAAGCCTATGTAAAACTGCCCATTGTGAGCCAGCTATTTGATAGTGCCATTCGATAGAGGAAATATAAACAAGTAAAAGTCCCCACAGGCATAAATTTCCCAGTGCGGACTTAAGGCATGAAAAACGCGTTTGGAAGTCGGAAAAAATAACATCGAGATAGCAACTTTTAATGAATATTCGAGGCTTATAAACGATAATTAAACATGCCTTTAAGTTTATTTTTTGCAAACAATACTCCGTTAGCTAATTAAATAAGTTTTTGTGAATTAAAGTATAAGGAGTTGCCAGATTTGGCATGAAAGTCAGTGAGCCAGAAATTTTATAGATTTTTTATAGGTATTTTTAGATGTCCTTGCACCTGGACTATGTTTGGTAATTGTCATTTCGGACTTTCGTGTATTTCCAGAGTTTGTCAACTTTAACCCCGGTGCTGCCTATTCCTTAACTTGCGTGAGCCAGAGGTTTGACACAATTTTTATAGGTATTTTTAGATGGCCTTTCACTCGGACTATGTTTGGTAATTGTCATTTCGGACTTTCGTGTATTTCCAGAGTTTGCCAACTTTCACCTCGGTGCTGCCTATTCTTTAACTTGCGTGAGCCAGAGATTTGATAAGATTTTTATAGGTTTTCTTAGATGGCCTTGCACCTGGACTATGTTTGGTAATTGTCATTTCGGACTTTCGTGTATTTCCAGAGTTTGTCAACTTTCACCTCGGTGCTGCCTATTCCTTAACTTGCGTGAGCCAGAGGTTTGACACAATTTTTATAGGTTTTTTTAGATGGCCTTTCACCCGGACTATGTTTGGTAATTGTCATTTCGGACTTTCGTGTATTTCCACAGTTTGCCAACTTTCACCTCGGTGCTGCCTATTCTTTAACTTGCGTGAGCCAGAGATTTGATAAGATTTTTATAGGTTTTTTTAGATTGCCTTTCACCTGGACTATGTTTGGTAATTGTCATTTCGGACTTTCGTGTATTTCCAGAGTTTGTCAACTTTAACCCCGGTGCTGCCTATTCCTTAACTTGCTGCTGCTGTTCGCATGTTGCATGCCTCATTTGGTATCTGTCCACAGGGCGACATTCACTCATCCGGCCTCCAGCAGCAAATCATTTAGATTTGTTTGCTCACAAACTTGGTGGTGTGGATGAGAGAGATCCTGACTCTGAAGTCGATCCATAAACTATCTCATGGGCGAAGCAGCCGAGTTAAATCTCAATTTCAGTACCCACATGAGATAGTTTATGTTACGCTCCAACGTGATGTTTTTACGCACGTTTGGATAAGTCGTGGTCATCAGAAATCCAACTCCTCCTCCTCGCGGTGATGGCTGGTTAATGCTAACGGAGCTCTGGTATTTAAGTTTTCTTGTACATTGAAGAAAAAGGAAAAATATGATTATATTGAAACTGTCGTATTATTATTAATATAAAATTGTAATTGATTTTTGATTGTTGAATCGGCATTCGACAAACTAACACCTCGTGATAATCAGCTTAATACTGCCTACCTGAAGGTATAGTAATGTTTACAAGTATCTGCTCATCAGATATATATATAGATTTTTCTATATAACTTCAGTTTGATCATAATCAAAATGAATTAAAAAGCGGAAATCACCGGGTTTGTTTCTATTAACAAGCTTTGCTATTAGCTTTGTCATTGTGTAACCCTGTACGACCTACTGAGAGAACAAAGTTGCATTAAAATTAATAAGTTCACGATTACCGAATCAAATATGTAGCTTATGAACGCATACTGTCAACTTACAAATCATTATGACACTATTTGTACATAAAAAGTTGAAAAGTAAATTGAAAACAGCTTTTTTAAGCTTTTCAACATTTTTTTCAGTAATAAAAACCTTTATTTTCATTTAAAATACTGTTTAAAAAATTCGACTTTTGACCGCGTTTTTTCGACCTTAGGTCCGATATTTTCTGTAAGGTTTTGAACATTCCTTATAGAGTCGAGTGTCTTCTATCGATTGGCAATAAAAAATCTCTGGCTCAAAAACAGGCAGAATCTGTCACTGTCCTTTCACTTTGATAACCATTTCTGTGAGAAAAAGTATAGAATTGTGAAAATTCTTGGAAAAGTAAAGCTTCTTTCAGAATGTTGGTTGAAATTGAAAAAAAGAAGGAATTACGTGAAGAATAAGCTCAATATTTGGAATTTTGATATTGAAACTTGGCTAAATTGGATCAACTTCATGTTTCCAGATAATTTCTTATGCACCAAAGAAGCCAAAAGTTGCATGATGACGAACGTTGAAGTTGACAAAAGACATTTGTTTACCTCGAAACTGTGCAAATATGTTTAAACAAGTTGAATGGAAAAATGAAACGAAAATTGTAGCAAAAAAGTTGGACTTTAAAAACTCGTCAAATTGAACAATTTAACCGTAAAAGGATAAAAGGTTCTCCTGGAAACAATTAACTAATTAGATTTCAAGTCCATTGATAAGATGATAATCATTAGAGATGGTTCAATTGAGCAGAAGAAGAAGAAGGAAGGAAAAAAAAGGTTCATCAATGGTAACCCTTTTAATCATTTTGATTTAACTCAGAGAGCGAAGCAAAAAAATAATGAAATTTCATGACAAGACAATTGAAGGAACAGGATTGAATTGAGAAAACAAAAGGTACAAAGACAATGAAGTTAATTAATTTGAAAAGGTATAAAAGTCATTTAAATGAGTTGTAAAGTTGAAAGAAGATGCAAAGAGAGGAAAAAAAGTTGAACAATTGAAATGAGATTGAATGAGAATCACATGTAAACTGAATCGAAAATTATTTTCACGCAAAATGATGAATGCAACGAATTAGCATGATGAGTGAAAAAAGTGAATAAACATGAATCTTTTTCAATGAAAAAAGTCGAGTTTCAAATGGAATTTCAAGTTTCCCAAAAAGTGTTCAATTGTATTCATTGACATACAAAAGTTTTTTCGAAGAAATTTATATTCTTATGAAATTGAAATTTACTAACCTTGCCTTGTGCTGCTCAATTCACCTGCAATGGACGATCGCTGATGATGATGTGAAGGATGTTGAGGTGGTGGATGAGAGTGACGATGATCTAGACGTTGTCCTGACGAATGTTCAACCTTGCTTGAATCGCCGTGAGATGAGATGCCACTTGGACGACGATTTTTACTTGAATGGCTTAATAAACTAATGTTATCTGAAAGTGAAAAAAAGATTCCAAATTTAAGTTGAAACGTTTTCAGTTGGGGAAATTATAATTGAATTAGATTTGTTGATTAAAAGTTGCAACTCACAACACAGTTGACAATCATTTTGACAGTTAACGGATAATGAAAAGTATTAACACAAGTATACAAGCTTTACAAAGTTGATTTAGTTTCTTTCATTGAAATGACTTTTCAGTAAACGAGATTAAATTCAATTTTGTGATAAAATGTCACAAATGATAGAACCTTTTTGTTGACTCTTTTGATTCTCACTCCACACTGGGAGTGAAAATGGGATTCAAAGTAATAATGGAAGGAAAAGAGGAAAATAATGAAATGATCAGTTTTTAATGCAATGATAAGAATGTTGTCAATATTGAGATTAAAAGTAAAGGGAAATTGAAGTGTTGCGATTCGTTATTGGTAAAGGTTCAACTGGGAGTGAAAAGTTGAATCCAAGTGTTATCCAGTTTTGACAGAACGTTCATTTTCTCAGAGTTAAAGTTGAAGCTTTAAATTGACTTTTATAGCCACTGACTCTGTTGTGTGGGTCACTTTGAAGCTCACTTGATAATGTTCTAATCGATTTATTAATAAAATATTTTTCTCTTTCAACGAAATTTCATCAATTTCATCTCATTCTCTTTGTTTCGCTGGTTTTTAATCAAACATTGAACTTGATCAAAATGTAATTCGATAAATCAAAATTGAAATTTTCCGGCAAGTTGAAAGACGAAAAAAAGAGGAATCGCAATTTCAGTCAAACTCTGTTAACGCAAAAGTGTATCAATCTTCATTTCTCTTGTTATGAGTAACAGTTATTGAAATTATAAGTCCAATCTTCATTCAAGTTTCATTTAGTCAAAGAGTTTTGTCACTTTTCAATCGAACCATTGTTCCATGAAATTTATTCACTTCTGTAAAATTCAAAATCAATAAACGAAAACGAATCTCACAGATTGAATTAGCAACTAATGATTTCGCAGCAAAAGATGAGATTGAGAGTTAAAGAAATTATTATCCGTCAATAGTTCGAAGAAAAGTTCAAAATCAAAAGTTGTAACAACAGCAGAAAGAACGATGTTTTTTTGACAAATTTTCTTCTATTTCATGAGTTATATTATTAGAAGCTAAAAATAATGATGAGTCTTGAATGGTTTTAGAAACGAAGGAAATCTCAGAGGAATCTTCATTTTCTGTGCAAATAAAGTCAATTTTTGATATAATAATGCAAAATATTGAAATGAAGCTGTTGAACCTTTGAGATAAACTTTGATCAACGAAAGCATTTTAAAAGCTTTTAAAATTATTGTTAAAAGTAAATTAGTTTTGAAGAGGAACGAATTCGTTTAGATTATTAGTTGGTAAACAACAGATCTGAATAGCTATCAGCATGTTAATGGTTAGTCAACTGTTCACTCATCTTCAATATTAGGGCATAAAGAAGTGATGAAGTTGGGTGAAAATGAAGTGTTAATTGCGTCTGGGACTGAAAGAGTTACATAATATCAAAGTTATCTTTTTTTAGCAACTTTGCCATTGTTTGATTGATTCCCTTTGCGTACTTTATTATATTCATATAATTGGCTGACTTGACTGTTCGATGCTTTTTTCCTTCCTTCATATTCATCATCGCCATCATGATAATCACTCAATGAGCCACTTGATTATCGAGAAAAAAAGGCAACTCGAATGAATTTATCGTGTTCATCACCCGATTCACTAGAGTAGTTAATCAATAAAATGGAGCTTTTTTCGCATCAAAACATGGATAAACTCTTAGATGATCTGAGTCTTGCGTTTGCTTGGTCAATGCGACCAGAAAAAAGTCAACAAAGCTGACAGATATTGTTATTAGCATTTACTGGTGTTGAATCAATTTGAAAATTGTAATTTAATAAGGATTTGGTTAACGAGAGAGAAGCAAAAATAGTTGAATATCAAATTAACTTGTCGATTGTTGATCAAGAAATGAACTTGTAACAAGCTTAGATTCAATTTGACTGCATTTGTGATTCGATTTTTTTCTCTAATTGAATGGCCGTTCGTTTATCCAAGCAAAACTAACGAAATTTTGCTTCTTCCGAATCAGATTATTGATTTAGTTGGAATTTGAGTTTTTTTTGTATTCCCTTCCCACTGTCTGAGTAAACATGATAGCATTGATTGGATTGAAGAGGTTGTTGATGATGAAAATGATGAATTGAAGCTGAAAAATAAATGATTGAAGGCCTTTCTCTCAACTTTTGCATTTTTTGTATGTGCTAATAGCAATAATAATGATCATGATTGAACCATAATTTGTTAATCTCTTTGAAAAAAGCCAACATTTGGTTGTTCGTTGCTGGGATTGACTCTTGTGAGCAAGAAAAAAAGCAAAATGGTTTAAAGATGAGGACGATGATGACTGATGGCATCAATCATGATCCGTTGGAAATCAAACAGAAAAGCTTTTTACAGACTAAAGCTTTGTAACCAACCAAGAGCTGTGCAAGAGCATAAGTGGTAATAAGTGGCAAAAACAACAACTGGGTTACATTTAATGGCATTACTCGAGTAAAAAATGTTTATACAATTTGATTGGAAAGAAGAGCTTCTAGCTTTGTAACAATGTTGGGACAAAAATTGTAACCAAAGAGGCATTAGTTTGAAGAAATTTGTAAACACTTTCTGTTCATCAACATGATGTGTTTGCATTGATTTTTGGTGAAAATTACAAATTAACAAATCCATTAGCTAGAATAACAAAATTTAGTTTACATTTGATCCATCAAAATTTACTTTGAACAACAAGAAATAAGATGGATCACTGAAGACGAGACAGTTTTCATCAGAATACTCTAATTCAACCTCATTTTAATCGTGTCTCAGTCTTTTTGTTTTCTTTTTGGCCGCAAAACTTGCATCAAAACATCCAAAAGATTGATTGTCAACTAATAAACTCACAAAATATCACGAAATTTACAATAAAACAAAACAAAAGGAACAAAATTTTGCAATGTTTCCAGACGAACTTGCGATCACAAGAAGACAGTTCACTTGTTCGAAGTACATTAGAATGCTATCTTTGTTGCTTAGAACTATCGGATCGTTAACATTGCTTATTATCGCAGATACAATACTTCGCTGTTAATTCCTTATTCATGCTTTTCTATTCACTTTAGACCAACAACTAAAACAAATGACTGTAAGAAAAGCATTGATTATGCTTCTGCAAATGTCTAATTTTGATGTTTGGAACAAAGTTATGAGCTAAACACAATCAAACTGAACTGTTTGAGTGCAAAATCTTGCAGCTTTTCAATCAAAGAAAACTTTAAGGAATTGAATCTTCAGCTTCTTTAAGGCATCGGCCTTAAAGGTTCAGTACAAATTATGCAAAACCCAAAAGTTACAATCATTATGAGATCTGTAACAAAGCGAGTTGTTTAATTACTGCTTTTAAAGATTGCCATTCATTTTGGAATTTTATGGTCAAAATGCTTGTCTAATTGACTTTGATAAAATATTGCGCCCATTAAAATTATTACTGTTGCTTGAACAACATTCATCTACGCGAATTGCTATTATTTTTTACCTAAAAGTCTATTAAAAACTCTCAGTCTCAAGATGCATGTTTGTTTGTAAATCATCAGCATTACATTTTAGTCTAATGGTTGTTGCTTGTGTTTCAAATTTATTCCCGTTTGTCCTTTAATCAATCCCAGTGATTACATTTTAGTTTCAAGCTACAACACTTTTTAGGTTAGCGTTAAATGTTTGTCTCTACTTTGAATAATAAATTGAAAGCCAAACTAAATGGAGAAACAAAAAGAATCTTTAGTTTAAAAACAAAAGCAGAACATTTGCTCTCATCTTTTGACCCTAAAATGATTTGGAATATACTCTTAATGCATAAATTTATTGGTCGCAACTTTTAGTTCATTTCATTTCTTTTCTGTTGCATTTACATTTAACAAGGTTCACCAAAGTTACAATTCAGTTAGTTTTCCCATTTTGCCTTCATTATTATTGTAAATTTTCATTATAACTTTCCCACTGTTAATCATTCAGGGAAACTCAGTTATACACTCGATGAAAATAATGATGATAATCTAGTTACAACACTTTTTTCATAAATACATTCGCTATTTGAAACTTTTCCAGTTCTTCTTCTTCTTCCTGGTAACTTCAAAACTGACAATCAAATTTTGAATACTGATTAATATGTTTGAATGATGAAAAGTCGTAAGAGTAATGGAAAGAAAATTGAAAAATATAATTTAAATTGAATTGGGAATAAGGTTGATGAAGATCGGTGAAAATGTGACAATAATTGGAAAGAAAACTAATCAAAATCCCAGTTATGGCAACATTCAACTGTCAAGTTTAGAGACGAAACTCGAAGAATGCAAAACGAAGTATCTTAACATAATAACGAAAACTAAACTTATAACCAACAGCAAGCTTATGTGTTGCATTCATTCACTAACAAAGACGAGAGCTGACGAAAGGAACCGTGAGTGAGGTTCAGAGACGATGGCTTAAGAATCGTTATTGAGACAATAGCAGAAATGAACAGATAAATGCATCTAATGCAAAGCAGCAACCGATTTTGCAGTCAGTTTCAGCTCAAATAGACGCAAAAAGAGTCGATTCAGTGAGACTAACTTATGGATTTACATTGCAATGTTAAATTTAGAAGCATTTCGCTTTTGTAACTCTACAAGATTGTCTAAGTCATGGACTAGTTCAAGCTGAACATTTCTTTTTCTCAATTGTTTCATGATGAATGAAAACTTGGCGATAACTACATTTCTCGATATTATCGGTTCATCATTCCAAGTTTATTGCTTTTCAATGTTCATTCTTTCTTTGCTACAAGAATATTAACAATATTTATCGTTCTTTTGCAATATTTTCAATGCTTCAATGATTGCATCGATATTTACACGAAGGATGCCAATAGCATCAATCAGTAGCGAAATTCGTGTTAATTATTCTCAGAAAG